ACCTGTCTCTTATACACATCTAGATGTGTATAAGAGACAGGCAAAAGGGTTAATGAGTGCAAGATCTGTCTCTTATACACATCTAGATGTGTATAAGAGACAGGCAAAAGGGTTAATGAGTGCAAGATCTGTCTCTTATACACATCTAGATGTGTATAAGAGACAGGCAAAAGGGTTAATGAGTGCAAGATCTGTCTCTTATACACATCTAGATGTGTATAAGAGACAGGCAAAAGGGTTAATGAGTGCAAGATCTGTCTCTTATACACATCTAGATGTGTATAAGAGACAGGCAAAAGGGTTAATGAGTGCAAGATCTGTCTCTTATACACATCTAGATGTGTATAAGAGACAGGCAAAAGGGTTAATGAGTGCAAGATCTGTCTCTTATACACATCTAGATGTGTATAAGAGACAGGCAAAAGGGTTAATGAGTGCAAGATCTGTCTCTTATACACATCTAGATGTGTATAAGAGACAGGCAAAAGGGTTAATGAGTGCAAGATCTGTCTCTTATACACATCTAGATGTGTATAAGAGACAGGCATTTTACGGAGGGCCACTATAGTGACCCGTAGTACCTCAGTGGCATCTTATGGAGGGCCACTATAGTGGCCCGTAGTACCTCGGTGGCATCTCATGGAGGGTCACTATAGTGGCCCGTAGTACCTCGATGGCATTTTACGGAGGGCCACTATAGTGACCCGTAGTACCTCAGTGGCATCTTATGGAGGGCCACTATAGTGGCCCATAGTACCTCAGTGGCATCTTATGAAAGGCCACTATAGTGGCCCGTAGTACCTCAGTGGCATCATACGAAAGGCCACTATAGTGGCCCGTAGTACCTCAGTGACATCTTATGGAGGGCCACTATAGTGGCCCGTAGTAGCGAAAGGGTTAATTCGCAACATGTGCATTTCACGAGGTTGCATAAATGTCAACAACAATCAAAGGGTGTAACGCAACTCCTCCAAGAAAAAAGGGAAAATGATGGAACATCGTCTTTCGCTCGTGACCTGATTAATTCGCAATTGCAACGTCCTACGAAACTGCATAAATATCAACCATCATTAAACATGGGATTACAACGAATTTACAGAGAAAGGGTCATGATCTGCGCCGGGAAAATGCAGAGACAGAATCCGTGGCCTGATTAATTCGCAATCAGCAGGCCGTACAAGACTGCATAAATATCATCCGCCATCAAAGGACAAAATGCAACGGATTTATAGAAAAAGGATCATCAACTGTTCCGTGAAAATGCAAAGACACCATCCGTGGCCTGATTAATTCGCAACCAGCGAGCCCTGCACAAGGTTGCATAAATATCATCCTCCGTCAAAGGGAGAATTGCAACAGATTTACAGGATAAGGATCATAAATTGTTCCAGGAAAATGCAGAGACACCATCCGTGGCCTGATTAATTCGCAATTAGAGCGTCCCACAAGGTTGCGCGGAATATTAACCATTGTCAAGCGAACGAGTACAACCGATTACCAGAAAAAAGGGTTACCATCCCTTCCAAGGGAAGGGAAACCGCGGGAGGACCATTTACGCGTGGGCTGATTAACTCGCAGCTAGCGCGTCCTACAAGATTGCATAAATATTAATGAACGCCAAAGGGCGGAGGAGGGCGCGACGAATCGCGTGATGACGTGGACTCCTTTGGGGGAGTCCCTCGAAAGGAGTGTTCACGTTGAATATTTTAGCTGTCGCCGGCTCGTTTAATTAGTAAACACGTCTGCGAGCATGGTGCACGGCCGAATGATCGATATTCGGAATCTACGGTGTCCGAACATGTTTCTTTGCGGCTGTTGCGAGCGCAAGAGAGGGCTGCACCCTCCCCGGTTCACGGAATGAATTTCCAAGGGAGACACTCCTCGGCATGGGATTATCGAGCCGATACCATTCCAATATGCATTTATCGGACGGCTGCCGATAGAATTGCATAGGAGTCGCCGACTTACTGAGAAGACGCGGCCAGAATTATCGGATTTCCCGTCGGCGGACGCGATACCGCGGCGCGTCGCCGGAAAGCAAACGTCGTCGTCCCCCAGAGTATCTTCTTTTCTGTTTCGCCGAGTTTCTCGTTCTGCGAACGCTGGCAGAACTTATCAGATCGCTCGGACGTGCAACCGAAACTTGGAACGGGAGAACCGTTGGAAAAATCGTCCGGAAAATTGAGGCGAGGCGTATCAGAATGCGTAACGGTCGGCGGATTAGGGGGACGAGGGCGAAGGGATGACACCTCCACGAGGGTTTATTTTCGCGATAATGGCCGGTCAGTTATCACGGTGGACGCTGAGATCATCGTTTCAACGATAGCTTCATACATTCGAGATCATATTTGAAGTAGCGTTAGTAGGGTGTCTCAGGCCGCATTTGGAACCGAGTGTAATCAGGCGTGGCAGTGAGGGTGGCACTCGGAGTATAGGGTGCAGGTCTTGAACAATGCGTGAACCAATGTCTTTCTTTAACCCTTTGCACTCGAAACGATTTCGATTGTAAATCTGAATTAACTTTTCTGTCTTATAGTATTTCCATTTGATGCGACAAAGTACATTTCATGCGTATGAAATTGAGTCTTGTGACTCTTATACAGCACTTAGACTTTTAACAATCTTTTTATATCTAAGCTTTGATAGTGTAAAAATAATCTTGGAATGCGATGTAACAATTTTTTTTCAATGGTGCCTCAGAGTCGCCACTCGAGTGCAAAGGGTTAAAGTTTTTATAGCGTGACTTGGTTTTTCTGCTTAGTAATCTGAATGTTTACTCGTCGTTATTATATAGTGAGTTTATTCCAGATTTTTCGAAGTAAATTATTTGTATCTTCTATTAGTGTGTACCATATGAGCCGTTTATTTTGAAAGTGGCATAAGTCACTTTGTTTTTAAGTCGGTCACTTTGTTTTTAAGACGATATATAATATTTAAGGGTTTGCGTTTTAACACGTTTAAAAATATGGATGCTAACTTTCGAGAAGATTTACTTGTATTTGTTATCTCAGGATACTGATATTGTTCTCAGTATAAATAATTTCGTATAAACATTAAAAAATCGCCACATTTCATTATGGTAAAGTGATTTATGCCACTTTCAAAATAAACGGCTCATATATCGGTGGTTATTTAAGAGTTTTTGAAAAATCAATCGTAATGGGGATGTTTTGGTCTTTTTTTTCTAATATCGTTAACAATTTGGGTCCCAGAACCAAAATTAATATTTATAAGGATAATTTGAGACGAACCTGTTATCCGGGGCTGTTGAAAGTAATCGAATTATTAAATGTTACGTTAGTATAAAAGGAAATCTGACAATTATTCAGATCGCGAAGATTATGTTTCCACTAATGATTACAACGAATTTAGGAATTCGTGAAACACTGTTAATTTCTACAATGTATAGTAAATGAAAAAGCATCGGTGCCTATACAATTTCTTCGGCAGGATAATTAAATTAGTTCGTTCGCGATTATTATTTGTGCATGAATCCAGTAAGAAAGGATAAATAATGTGCAAAATTACCTCACCGAAGCTGTCAGAATCAAATGAGGTAAAACTTCTATAAAAGTTTGTTAAAAGATATTAAAGGAATATTCAGGTCGTACAACTTTTTCAAGAAGCAGGATCCAAACTTTGATCGACTCTCCACTGCATAGGATTTCAAGATCCGCGAGCAATACTAACATTCACTTTGTTTAATTTTCTGGAAACTTTTTAATAGCTAAAATAAACTTCTTCCTTCCCCGTATTCATTTTACGCAAATTAAAACTGCAATCTTGCTATAAGCAAAGCAGTTTTATTTGTTAATAAACGTGTGGAGATAAAATTGGATCTCGCATTGACGAGTTAGAATGGAACCTCCTCAGTTCCGCAGTAATAACTTTTATAGACAAGGAATAAGACGTTAAAAGCTGCATTCAATTCTACTGGATCGACTTTTCTTTCTTACACGAATTCAAAAATTCACCGTTTAATGCAAAGCTTTTGAAAAGAAAAACAGAAGTTAAATCAAAATGTTTTTCTTCTTTCGATAGTGTCAAAAATTATGTACATCGCCTATTCGTTTCCATCATCGTATATATAAAATCTGCACCAGCGATGCACAAACGCGAATTAGTTATTAGATTGCAAATTTTTCTGACATTTCGACTTTACTATCGTGGCAAGGAAATTTGATGTCGACGAAACAAGTTCTCCTGTATCGTAGACTTTACAAAACAAAATTTGCGCAGACATTTGGGAACCATTAATTGCATAAAGGAAGTTAGCGAAAATGACAGAAATGTTTCAAATAAAACTCAAATTAACTCGCATCGTACATAACGAAATTTATCCAAATAAAAGTAGCATCGCGACTTGAAACTGTGCAGCCAGGCATTCCAATGAAATCCAATATCAATCCGAGAACGAGTGCAACGAACGAATACCCAAGTTCATTTCAAAAGAGGAACAACCAAAACAAAGCGACACGGAGCGTGCATTCCATCTATGCGTCGAAGAGTCAACAGTAAACAGAGAGATCGAAGGCATCCCTCCCCAATTTCCGCAATGATTGCAAACGAAGATACAATAAAAACGATAACATCCGATCAAAATAAATTCACTTTTCGCGAGCACATGTCAGAAGCGGAAACTGTCCAGGAAATTCCAGCCTCTCGTCGCCAAAAATCCCACGAAAGTCACCCAAGAACCCCCGTGCTCGTCGAAACCACTGCGTTCAAAAGTTCTCCAGAATCATCGTTATCTCGCCGACAAAAAGGACTCATAAAAGTCGGAAAGCAATTCCAACACCGAGACCCTCAAGAATACCATTTGACAAGACAGACATAATTAATTAACAACTGTCAAGAATCCTGATCGAAACCACTGTCTCCAAACGTTCCCCAAAAATCCATGAACACCGCAAAGGGTAGCGTCATCGAAGCATTGTGCTCGCTGTGTCATGGAAAAGACACGATTTTATCTGACAGAAACTACGAAGCTTCGCACTTACCGGCAGAATGCTCGTCCGAGGTATCAGCAACCCCGAGGAACGTCGAGGTCGAGACAGAGAGAACGGAAAGAAATCGGAAACCCGGTACACTTCACGGTCCTCTTAGAGACGTATCACTGTGATCACGATCGAGATTCACGTCAGATCGCGGTCAGACGAAACGCAACCGATGGAGTGCGTCGCGACGCCGCGTGCCGACTGAAGCCGTCGTTTTTCCTCCTGGAGACTCGATTCGCAGCGGGAGGGGGACCGGGTGCGTCTGCCGACGCCGTGGACGCGAGGCGTCTCCCACCCGACGTGATCCGACCACCCCACCCTTGATCCGGACGCAGTCTACCCCTATTAGTCACCCCCTACCTGCGCGAATTCGGCGCCACGTGGTGCGCAATCGTCGGCCGGTCGACGCTCGCGACGTCGAGACGCCGCGCCGCGCCGCGCCTCGCACCAAACAGTCCGAGTGTGCCCTTGATTGTGCTTTTTGATCGCGTTTCTGCGGCCGGGCGGCTGTTGGCGGTGCGATCCTCTCTGTTTCGGTCGCACGCCGCCGCCGCCGCCGGCCGAGGGCACCATAAATCCTCCTCGTTTTATCCGAACAGTCCAGTTCGGATAATAGAAGCTCGCCTGGTATCGCCGCCGCAGCTACGGTAACGGCTATAAATTTAAAACGATGAATTTTAATGCTAGATTTATTACGAAGCGCTGGAGAGCCAGCTGTTTCGTATTGCATGTTTATTTGGAAAAATATTTTATTGGCGCTGTATACAATCATTGTTAGCGAAGCAACGTTTAAAAACAAATATGGGAACAACGATGGATTACGTTCAATGAACGAAGAAATGTTTTTAATCGTTTGCTGTGATATCGGTTTCGAGGTTTCAGCAATTTTTGAACGATTTCTCTAAAGTGGACTATTTCACGTGCTCGCTTTCGTATTTGTTAAACGGGCATATTTTCCGACAGAGCGCACGTTTGTCAAATACGAATAAATACCCATAAAAAAATATAATATATATTATATATTATATATTATATATTATATATTATATATTATATATTATATATTATATATTATATATTATATATTATATATTATATATTATATATTATATATTATATATTATATATTATATATTATATATTATATATTATATATTATATATTATATATTATATATTATATATTATATATTATATATTATATATTATATATTATATATTATATATTATATATTATATATTATATATTATATATTATATATTATATATTATATATTATATATTATATATTATATATTATATATTATATATTATATATTATATATTATATATTATATATTATATATTATATATTATATATTATATATTATATATTATATATTATATATTATATATTATATATTATATATTATATATTATATATTATATATTATATATTATATATTATATATTATATATTATATATTATATATTATATATTATATATTATATATTATATATTATATATTATATATTATATATTATATATTATATATTATATATTATATATTATATATTATATATTATATATTATATATTATATATTATATATTATATATTATATATTATATATTATATATTATATATTATGTATAAATAAATACCCATAAAAATCTGCGGTCCAGCAATATTATCCGCAAAAGCTGACATTCGGCGACAAAGATTTTGCACGTGACGATGTTTTCGCTAACTTTTGTTTACCTTTTGAAAATCTAAATAAATCGCGAACACGAAATCACGAAAGTTACCACCATACGGCCAGAGGGAGGTGCATTAAAGTGAACGGAGTCCGATAGATTTATGGCAGCTGTTTATAAATTTTTCATAACGCCGGACGTAACGCGTCGTAAATGAAGATATACGACACCGTTTAAGATGCCGTCAATGATCTCGAATCAAATATTTGGATAGCCATAAAATTTCTTGCCGCGCCCACCTTGCTGCCCCATAAAACCGGCCCCCGATCTCGGTCACCCTCGAGCACCAAAATTGAATCAACATCGAGGCCGATACAACTATACACAGGACAATCTAATTTACCCGAGGCAAAAGTTTCGTGTGCATCAAGAGGTTATCAATGAATAATCGATCGTTCTCTCCGCTGCATCGCACCCACGCGAATTCCTATAACGCATGAATGGCCTGTCGCTATCCTATAAGAGCAAAACGAGACCTAACGAATAGATTGACTTAACTGTTTTAAAAGCTATGTCAACGATGAAGAAATGTCACGGCCCATCGCAATTATATTAACAACGAGGAAACCTTAATGAACGCACTGAGCAACATTGGCATTATCTCAAAATATGCAAAAGGAATACAAAAATGATATCAGTCCCAAACTAGCCGAAAAAATTCCTAGAAAACTCCTAGGAAATAAACAGAACAATTTCGAAAGTAACCCGAGCAACAATGACATCGGCAACCGGTCGTTGTTCCATTAGAACTAACAACCCTCGGGCAAACGAGCTCAACGAGCTCCTGGAAATCACTTCGGCAACACAAAACTGACTCGATTAGACTCAACGACATCAGACACAGCATCGACACAGTAAAAATGACACACACACACACAAGCCACCTATCGCAGCTACGTTAAAAACAAACCGCCCGGAAAATACCAACTCAATAATCTCGGAAATCGCTTCAACTGCAAAAATGGTGCAAGCTCCGAACGACATTTATCCGCTAAAAACAACTACACTAAATCAACTACCCCTAAGCGAATCACGAGCAACCACAGCTCCACCGAAGCAACCACCCCCAAAGAACGATCGCGAGAACCTCCGACCGCATCTCAACAATGCAAAACTGACGCAAGCAGTCGATAGGCGTTCCATCAAACCCAAACGATTCTAAGAATCCCGGAAATCAGCGTAGCACCAGCATACTCCATTGACAATGCCGAAGAAATTCCTACGCGTCCCTTACGATTGAAGTTTAGGTCCCGGTTATTATCGTCGTCGGCCCACGTCGAAAACATGCCACGGCGTGGCATTGTGCAGCAAACGTCGTCGCGCTATGTCGTAGTCTGAGATGCAGCCGGCGACGATCGATCGGGTGCAGTGCGTTCCCGCGAGGAAAGAGGATGCAGCGACGCTGGATCGCTGGGTGAACAAAGACGGGACACCTGGAACATGCAAGGGATACCGGGCGAGAGGGTGGCGACGGTGGGCGAGGAAGGGGATCCACCGGGGCAAGAGAGCGGGTATCCGGTTATAAATTTTGGGACTGGGTTCACGGGCTGGTGAAGGTCAAGAGCTCGGCCTCCAGAGGCCGCAGCGGGCTTTGGCGGGGACGCTGGACCAACCCCTCGGTCTCCGGCGCGAGATGGCGTGTTTTTCGAGTAATCTCGTAAGTGCTTCCACGATGGGGTAATCTGGATTATCTCGGGTGCTGCAGTCGGCGCACAGGAAGTTGCCCGGACGATTTCGAGCTGTTCGTCTTTCGGCCATTCGGCAGCGAATGGAAAAGTCGTTCTGCGGAATTGGAAAAGACAGAGGAATTATGGGGATAGCCGCGGGGTTCTTGAACTCTGAAATCCGACGCTTTGTATTCGGTTTCTACTCCCCCGCTTCGCCTCGCCTCGCCACACCGCGCCGCGCCACGCTTTCCAAGATTCTATCTAATTGTGAATCAGTGCTGGGACGCGCGGAACTGGATCTTATTGCACCCGTCACGCCTGCAAATTTAATAAATTCTGCGCCGTATCAACATGTTATTTCGAGATTTGTACAGAGATACGTTGAACTCTTTATCAAATGTTTCCGAGATTAGGGAAACTAGTGTGGATTAATCTCATTTTGGACTAATTGGACTAATTCATTCTGGGTTATAGTAACTAGGGAAATCGTTCAATAATATATTACGAAATTGTCTTTTAACCACTTAACGCACAGTTTTCTTGTGAAAAACCGGCCAAAAAGAATCAATTTTTTTAATGTAAAAAAAACACATTTTAGAACATTGTCTTGGCAAAAAATATTTTTTAAATACAAAAATAATCAAAATTTGTATGTTAATTTTGGATTTTGACCCACATTGCAGAAAACAGCCGAATATTGCAATGTTACACGTACATCGACATTTTTATCTTTCTTTTCGAATTGCTATTTCGGAGAAAACATATTTTTATCAGTAAAAATATTTATTCATACTTTTACGACATAAATAATAATAATACTAGTATTTATTTTAAAAAATTATTCAAAATTTTCTTTCGTGTGATATATTTCGAAGCAAGGTGCAGCACATAGCCCAATATTGCAAGTATTGCACATGTAACGACTCTCACAAATGATAAATATCAATAAAACGATCTTTTTTCTTTGCTTTCACATTGTTATTTTCAATTCTCGATTATATTCGAGCGTGAAAAATTATAGCAGCATAAAATACAACGCCGCTCGAATTATCTCGAGTGCGCACAGTTTGGTCTGTTTAGCGCGCTCGAATTAACTCGAGTGTACAAGTTAACACATTGCGGACGGCTCACGAGATATCTCGTTTTTAGCAAATTGAACGTTGCGGACGGGTCACGAGATATCTCGTTTTCATGTTTTTTTTATTTAATCGGCAACTTAAGCAACCAGCCGCAAATATTTCTGTTACGTAACCATGGTAACGAAGCCTCCCGCATTCCTAAGTAATTTTAGCGAAACAAATGAATCATTCCAAGCATGTAGAAATGATCAGTCATTATAGCCACTCTAAATCAATATTCAAATTTGTATAATAAATAATAGTTAAAATGTAAAAAATCTTATATAATAAACAGATATATAAACTATGTATATATAGTATTATTTAAGAATACTAAATGCAAATTAGAAATGTGCGTATCCGCTTCCTGTTACTTGCCAAGCATGTTTTTGGAGCGTTCGAAAATGTGCGGTCTT